CCCATGTCCTTGATATGCCTAGAGATCTAACTTCTAACCACAACTAGTGTCTTATTTATACAAAGATGGAAGATATTTCTAAAAAGAAAGTGGAAATAAGTTTTCTGGTTATAGTGAACACAGAAGAAAGCCAAGTACTAAGGCAAAATGAGCTTTTGATGTCTAGTGCTTCTTAAAAAATAGAATGTGACCAAAACATCACATTGACCACACATTTGCCCGGCACAAGACCACACTGAAGACCACACAAACTTTTCATTAGGTGCTACCCTACAAGCAGAGAAAGGCAAGTTCAATCAAATGTGATACACCGCTGTTGGTTTTAGCACAGGATTTTGTCAGTAGAATTTGTGGCACTTGTGAAGATTTTGAGCCAGTCTCTCTCCTTCACTATCTTCTTTTGAATGATACCACCCATTTGAGCAATTTCTAGTACTGCAAGAGCCTCTCAGCTCAATCTCTAGAGTTGGCATAAGCATAAGTAAACACAGAAAGTGAGCGTTAAGAAAAACACAGAATACTCTAAGGCATATAATTTCCAAATTTTGGACTGTGGCATTGTAATAGTCAAACCTGGCATTTATGTGCAAAGATTACTTAGGTGAAATATTAATTTCTTAATGGAGGAGAAACACGTTTCTCTTTTCAAGAGAAACTGACACTTTTTTAGCATCTTCTCCAAACAAGTTTAAAGCAAAACATGAGGTGTCACAGGCAAGCTTATGCTCTTGAAACAAAAAAATGTGATTTAGTTAACCAGTGCTACAAGTTAACTCATTCAGTTTTGTCTTTTCTAGCAACATTATCTTGAGCTTATTTGGGATATTGACTTTTTTATGCTTATATTTACTCAGGCACTTCTTTCAGATAAACAGTATGTGTTATATATACGTGATGAACATACAGTATTGAGATTGTTCATTTCTCCTGCAAAAACTCAACACAGGAGATTCCATTTATGTACTACCAGCACTTTATTTCCTGTCTCCTAAAAAGATCTCTCCTGGTGATTTTACGCACAAGCCAAACAAAAAGGTACAAACTTTCCAGCCTGACCTGTGCATTCCAGATTGTCTTGAAAAAGGACATTTAGGTAGAACTGATGCATTTCTTTCCATCGATTCAGGTCTTCAGAATGCAATACGGTGGCTAATGACTGACAGGTCACCACTTCTAAGGCAACACCCTCCCCAAACCTTGCCTGCCAGAGTTCACTCTGAACACAGGACTAAGTAACAAGTAGCTACAATCAGAGGATGAGCCTACCAAAGAATATCCTGAGCAGGTTGTTCAGATAATGGAACACTTAGCAGCTCCCCAAGAAAAAACAAAAGAGAAAAGTGGATGCTGTGAATAGTCCACAGAAGAACGTTGTCAGAGCAAAAGCGAACTGATTTTGTATTCATTTAAAGTGAGGGGTTTTGAATAAATACCACACAAAAAAAGGAAGATATATTAAGTCTCTTTCTAATACAGACACTGTCTAGAAAATAATGGAGCATTATCTGCTCATTTCTACCATTCAAACACATTGCTGCTGGAGCTTTCCCAAAAGCACTGTTTATACAATGACAAAAAGATTGTTCTCAGCAACATAGTGTCTGCAGTCTTCTGCTTTGTAGTCTTACAATTGATATTATCACCAGTCTCCTAGGATCAGTGGAATTCCTTCATCATGACCAGCACTGAGGCCCACTGCTTTCAATTTGACATACTGTGCATAAGGCAGCATGGTGACTGTTGGGCCAATCTGGTGACTCAAAGCTGTGCCCGGAACAGAACAACCTCTATATGTTCTCAAGGTCTCAAAGTGTCTCTGAGCCAGCATGAGGAATGCAACATGGCTTTAAAGAGAAAAGACAGTCAAGAGATACTAACAAATCATCTTTTTGTAATGAGTTATTGTCTCAACAGAGCTCACAAGATACTATAATTTCAAGTGTTCTCACTGCTCTTAAAAGCTTCCAAGAGGACTCTCTAGCTTCTTGAGAAACAGTAACAAGAGCAGATCATTAGAAAGTCTCAAGTTTAATGAATTTATAAGAAAAGAGACTGGTTTAGCCTGACCTGCTTCTCAGTCCTGTTGCTGAGAGGCAAAAATCCTGCCTGGCCTTTCACTCAGGAGGAGGGCATTTCTTTTAATCTCAGGGCTCTCTTCCTGATGTTTATGTAAGATGGACAAGTAACAGCACAAATGTATTACCACCATCTCTACTGTTTTCCTTCCTTCCTCCACTTCCCCCACCCCTCCTCAGCTGACTTGGGTTCCCAGCAGGGTTACAAACTCCTCCCAATGACATTCTGTTCTTCTGACTGCACAACACCCACCTTCTGTCCAGGCCTGAGTTGGGCTGTTGAAAGTCTCACAGTAACAGCCACAACTTTAGTGCTTTTAAAAAAATGTGCATTTACTTGGAAATTTGCTTGACATATCAAAATTCTCTTACCTAATGTTTCCTTCTGTAGCTCATGGCACGTACTTTGCAGCTCATTCCCTTGCTGAAGTAAAGTTTGAAGCTGAATTTTCAGCTCAGTTGTGTCAGCCATCAGGGTCAGCTGTTTTACATTTTCTTGGTGACTTTCTTTCTCTTTCTGGGACTTTGCTAATTTTTGATTCAGTTTGGGTATTTCTGAGGAGAAAAAAAGAAAATTTTAAAAAATCACATAGACTGTTGTCAGATTTACCTTCTTCACTAAAAAGTGTAACACCTGATTTATGACCTCAGGATTTCAGCATTTTGTTACCCCAGTTTCGGTCAACATACATTAGCAACACTTCTGCTGAACATGTAGAGGGCCAATGTTTTGTGCACTATTTCTTTACACAAATAACTTATACTTAGCCAAACACCTATTGCTGACAAATAATACTAATTTTATCCTAAGCAGTAATAAATATTTCTTCTAAGATCTCAAAAATCAAATTAAAATGAATGTATATATTCCAAATGAAATAAAAAAAGGTGACAGAAATATTTGAATCCAAGCCTTTTGTCTTAGGAAGATACACAAGCCATTTCTGCCCTACAAAAACCACAGACTCATTCTGAAATTAATTTGAGAAGATAGCAAGGGGGTTAGCCTCTGCTAAAGCTCCATTTGAAACATTTGGTTCAGAAGATGTTTTGGCAAGTGCTTTATTTTTTCACTCCTTAGGTAACTACTGCTGTTAAAAGTAATCACAAGGTGCATCTTCATTATCTAAAAGCCAAGCTTGGTCACGATCTCTCATCAGCTCTTCAACATGAAGAGCAGCAGTCCCAAGGAAGTTTCCCAGGCAGTTTTTACTGTAAGGTAACTAAGTAAATCAGGGGTGGGGTACCGTGGGTCTCCTACATTTTCATCATTTTTCCTGAATTCAGTTATCCTTGATGAGTGCATTTGAACATTTCCAAAATATTAGCAATTCTTTTCTATGCCTTCTCCAACTGCAGCCCTGAATGTTCAGCTGTCCAAAGAACCTGTATCACTTTTATTTATATTAGTAATGATGTTTGAGTTAGATGAGGCCTAATTCTGTTGTCAAATCAGTTCTTACTTACGTTTTATATGCTGCCCACATGCAAATGTTAAATTCTGTGGTGCAAATGTTTTCTCTATCTACAATCTTTCCCAGCTACTCCACACGGAAATCAATTTACTGTTAGACTACATGATGTAAATAGAGAAATTATTTTAAGTTCTTCTACTTCTTTCTACTTGCAATTAATTAACAAAGGCTAAATAATTTACATATGCAAAAGCTTTTAAAAACTGTTTTCAAGCTAACCAAGCAAACTGGTCTAGGCATAGAGTAGCAGCTCATGTAACCTTTTTCTTCTCAAAACCTGAACAGAAAACATGTTCTGAAAATCTTGTTCCAAAAACATATAGTAAACTTTTTTGTTTATTTTACTATTTATATGTTACCATATGTTAATAATGAACGACTCAAAACAGCACAAAAAAGCTTTCAAAAGGCTTTTCACAGGCCAAAAAAAAAAATAATTACGTGTGACTAAATTGTTTTGACTTAGAAAGCCAGATTTAAGGATGTCTGCAATACTCAGTGTGGCACTATTCTCAGTGGGATACACTGAATGAAGTCAGGGATGTGTAGCATGTACAATGGGACATATAAACATTAAAAGAATGTGAAAAGCTGCACTCCTGTTTCCACGCCAATATTCTATATATTTTCAGTATTACAACAAATCAAACAAGGAACAGTCCAGAAAAGAAGCCTTAAAACGTTAGGAATCTCTCTGAAGCCGAAGACGTCTGCAGAAACTCACGCTCATGTTCCCTTTATTAGCTGGAAGTAGGCAGAGAATGAGCACAGGAAGACAGGAATCCTCAGGGACATACAATACTCGGTCTAATTAGGAGATGAAGTCATGAATCAAAAAGCATGATCCTGACACTGACATTTCAATTAATTGTCCTTGCCAGAAGGGCCCAGTGAAGCGTGACTGTCCTGCCATGCTCGGCCCTGGCAGGCAGGAGTCTCCTGGGCTCCCTCCTGGGCTCCCTCCTGCTGGGACCAGGCGCTGCCATGCTGCCCACTCCCTCCTGCTTCTTTCTCCCCAGTCCAAACAAAGCAATCCTTGAAACTATTAAAAATCACTTCTGATTGCACAGGAAGCATAGGCTACTGGGGAGCTAGCGTTTAAAACAAAGCTAGATTTATTCTGAGATACTCCACGCAGGCAGGTTTTGCTTAAGCTGTGAATTTGCACCACAGTTCAGCAGCAGAATGATGTGAGAGATGTCCATCCATGGAAAATTGCGTCCAAAATTACATCCAAAGTTGCCCAAGCCAGCACAGAGCCTGTGTGGATGATCTGGGGGTTACAGCCTGTCGTTACACCACTGCAGACTTTTATTTCAGCCAAACTAACCCTTAACTGAGGCAGAGTGAAATCGGTATTCAAGGATAAATCTGAGCTTTCAAGTCTGACCGCCAGCCCCAGGGCTGGGCACGACCTTCACCAACAAGCCATCAGTTGTGACTTGCTCCCAGCTCCTCCTCTCCTGAAGGCTGCCCTTGTTTGAGCAGGAAGCAGGCTGCGGGCCAAGAGAATTATTCTCAGCCCATGGGCTGCTTCATGCCCCAGTCAACCCCAGAGACCCCTCGGATAAAGACAGCTGTATTTGGGTGTTACTTCTTCTTCTTCAGAAATGGGAGGAGGGAGTAGCTGCTACATGTTGGGTGCAGGTTGCCTCACAGGGCTCATGTACTCATGGCCACCAGATGTGCACAGTGGATAGGAAAAGAACCACGTTCAACTCTGTTCACGTGGTGCCACAGCAGTAGGTTGGGTCTTCTAATGCTTCAGATCTGGACATGTTAGTGTCAGAATTAGAAATTATCTCATTAATTTTACCTTTATTTTACTGCGTTCCACTTAACTACCAAAAAATATTTTCTCTTGCCAAAATTATCGCAAGGTGATTTACCTGTCAAAGCTTCTTTGCTAACAGTTTTTATCTGTAGAAAAATTTCTTCTTTCATGGCAGCCCAGTTCTCCAGGTTACTGGAGATGACATCTTTAATGCCATCTAGTTCACTTCTAATAAGAGGGAAGAGGGAGACAGCCTTGTTCAGAATTGAGCAGTGGTGTTCCAGTGCATTTCTGAAAGACAGAAAAATTATACCAGATGTAGGGTTTTAAAATTACCAAATCCTATTAGTGAACTCAGGAACTAAAGTAAACTTGCTAACTCTTCTGTTATATGATAACTTATACTGCATTGGGTTACAATAATTTAGTGTATGAAGTATGCTGTATATTGAGCATATTTATAGTAGGCGTCTCCCTTCTAAATATTTAGAACTTATATACATGGAGAAAACTGTTCAGACAACAATCACTTTTGTAAAATCACTTTTTATTATAAAATCAGAGCAATCGCGTTCCAACGACTGTATGTCCAAGCTTGTGCTGACTCTATATAAAAAACAGATAAAGATAAAAACAGATAAAAAACAGATCTAAGAGATACTGTTTTTCCAATGCATGACAAGCAAGTGGTACCTACTCACTTTCAAGTGTTAGTTAATGCTTTTAAATTTGTGAAGAACTTAACATCAGCAACCAGCAGTTGCTGATTTTCCAGTCACATGTGCTAACACTACAGCACCTCGCTCTATCCTGGAAAAGCGAGAAACACCTGGAGGGTTATAAACCCTTTTCTCACTCACCACATTCTCCTGCCCATGCCCATCTCCACGGAATCCTCTCAATGGACTGTACGCGCTCACAGGAGGCACAACATCAGCATTTCTTTTTGGGTTCTTACCTGAGCACTTGTGATTGCTTATAGGCAGCTTCCTTCTCCTCTTGGAAATACTGCAAATCATCTTTCACGTTTTTTAGTTCATCTTGCTTGGTTTTAAGTTCCCATGTTAGGTTTTTTATTCTACAGATGTAAAGAAAATAATGAGAAAGCATTATTTACTCTACTAACCAACTTGTAAAACTCTTGTCTTAGCTTTAAATTAAAAACATGCTGAAAGGCTTTTTGAAGGTGACAGACATTTCAGACTGAGGTATCAGATGTCTGCATGAAGAGAATTTAATCTGCTGGCCACTGTATGAGCAACTTGGGCAACTTTTTCAAAATAATATGCATATTTATACAATAATGTGGAAATGTGTGTCCAATATCAGCTCACATGCAAAGCTGTGAAAGTATCTTAAGAATCCCATGTTCATTCACAGAGGCAACACAGAACTCATTCATCCTCCAAGACCCATGCCATTATGAAAATCTCAGTTTAAAGTTCAAGGTGGGTACCCAGCTTAGGGGCTACAACACCCCAAAGGCAGGTGCCCTGTCCCAGCAGGGAGATGCGGGTACCACGATGAGCTGTGGTGGTTCCACACACCACTGCGAGGACATGTGTGCAAGTCTAATGGAGAGCTCACCAAAGTTGAAGGGGACGGTCTCTAAAGTCAACCAACAACAAATGATAAATACTTGATAATTTTTACCATCTTTTTTTTCCCCATCCAGTGTGCTTATCTGTTTCTTAAATTTCAGACATTTGCAAAAGATGAATCCCAGTTGCCCTTGTTTCCCTCTGCCCTCAGTTTCACTCACAGTCATGGACCTGTACTTCTGCAGTGCTGAACTAATTAACTGGTGCTCAGCAAATACTAACGAAAAAATACACATCAAATATTCTCCTGTCTGTTACTTTTACATCAGCTGGAATTTAGGCCTCCATTGCTTGACAATGGCATTTTAAAGAGCTAAGGAGAAGCTTTTCACAAAAAAAGTTTCCACCAGATGTTACTTCTATGTACTTAGGCAATGACATTAGCATCAAAATGCTAAAAAATGTCAATTTAGTAAGACTATTTTCCTACATTTTTCTTAAGGAAGACTTAAGGAGAGGGCATGAAGTTGTGGACTAGAGCAAGGTTTCCATGTTCCCACCTTGACCTACAACAGGTCAGAGAAAACACACATTTATTTTCTATACTGCCCTCCTTTATTTCAGGAAAAACAAACAAACAAACAAAAACACCCCACCCCACAAAAAAAACCAAACAAACAAAAAAAAAAAAAACCCAAAAAAAAAAAACAACCAAGAAAACCCAACCCACCCAACAGATTTTGGGCTCAGAACACTGTTGACCACAAGACAGGGTGGGAAGGATGTGACTTGGTGGCTCTACCTGACAAATCCTGTCCAGGTGTTGGGCTCCTCCAGAGCCTCTGCTCTCCTTTTGTTCCCCTCCCTCTCCTCATACTCTTTGGGTTGCCTGCAAGCAATTGTCTCACAGAAGACAACTGAAGGAGACACTGTCACAACACCCTCTTTAAGCATTCACCTTGAATAAGTAAAGAATTTGCCTTTTTCCCAAGAAAGGCTGGACCAGATGATCCTTGAAGTTCCTTCCAACCTGGTATTCTGTAATTCTACAATTGAATAGTTTGAAAAAAATTTTCATGCTTCCTCCTCCTTGATCTTCTAGGGTGCTTCATCACACCAATATGAAATGGATTTTTACATTACAGTGCAGGTGGCAATTTTGAGCATTTTACCTCAAATCTGACAACAATAAAGAACCTAAGTCTGGGATTGGGAAAGAAGAGCTTACTGTTAGCTGGACTCACAAATACAGTGTGTACTCTCCCTCCTATTAAAAATGCAAATTCGTGTTTGTCACATCTGTGCTGCACTTATGCTGATTTAAAATGCAGAAGTAGAGTATCTGTGCTGGGGGAAAAGCCATCAGAAACAGATGATATGTGCTCATGGTTGCGTGCAAGAACATTCAACTCCAGGTGTATAGAATCATAGAATTCTTTAGGTTGGAAACAACCTTTAAGATCAAGTCCAACCATTAACCTAACTCTATCAAGTCCACTGCTAAGCCATGTCCCTAAGCACCTTATCGACAGGTCTTTCAGCAGGGAAAACTCCCATTCTTTCACTGCTGTGGACTAACAGCTTGTTCCACAGAAGAACTGAGGGGTATTTGGTACCGGCTCACAGCAGAGGAGGAGGAGGGTGGCCCCAGGCAGCACAGGGAGCTTTCCATCACCACAGCCACATGTGCTGGTCTCCTGCCTGCTCAAGACAGGACCCACTTTCATGCTGGACTCTGAGCCCCCCCCTCTCCCCCCCTGCCGACACAACTGCTCAGGTCAGTGCACCAGGCAGCTGCCCTATGAGATATTCTTTGCCTCTAAAATTTACCTTTTGAACCCCTTCATTATAGCAGCCATCCCGAGCTGCTTGTTTTCCAAGCACAGATATGGTAGGGTAAATAGATACACACTGAGCACTGTTCTTTCAACAGCTTGGGACTTACTCCCACAATTGTAACAGAATGAATGGAACTGTACGGGAACAAGGGACAGTTGAACCCGATTCCCTTCCTGTGTTCCATGTGCAGGAACAGCACACAGCACGTCACTACTCAGTGACAGTACAGCTGCTTTCTCCTCTGCTAGCTCTAGCTAACCATTCTAACCTAGTCTTCTATCCCCCAAAATTATGTGCAACTGTTAAAATAGTCCCTTTGTCAGCTTTCAATGTTGTTACCTCACTGCAAGCAGAGTAAATGATCTGTTCCCTTACTGGTGACTCATTGGCATGAGTAAATAAATATTTGCATCAATAAATATTTTACAAAACCAAAGGATGGCAGAAGCACTACATTGGTCTTTGCTTCAATTTTTAAAAAACAAAAGAAAATGAGATTAATTTATAGTACAAACACAAAAACTAAGCCAGAGGGTTTATGTGCATTAGTTACTGTTATCAGATGGATCATCTATAAGACACCTGCACCAAAATGCAAATTTTAAAAAATATTAGTCCTGATAAAGAAACTTGGATCTGTAAAGCTTTGCCAAAACCAGAACTGAACATCTGGTACTTAAAAAGCAAATTGTTTGGGCTCAGCTGTGATCAGTGAAAAAAAAAGAGGAAGAAAAACTTATGAAAAAATTGTAGAAATTTCTGGTATTACCTTGCTAGGAAAACTTACCCATACCTACCCATACATTTCTTGGTAGTTGAAGGGCAGGAGGGGAGAGAACAAAGTCTCTATTTTAAATAAAATTTTTAAATAAAACTCTAAATAAATGAAGTTTGATTGCATTTGGGAGCAGAATCAGATTGCTGTCACTGACTGATGAGGAAATGTCCATCCCCTTAACAGTTACATAAATTCAAATCTGGTTTTGGAGATTAAATAATCCATTAACAATACATTAAGGAAAAAAGTGGTGATTTATCACTGACAGTAACAAATCAAAACTTTGGGATCTACGGAAAACTGGATGCTCATTTTCTACTCATGCTCATGCCAAATGGGCAGCATTTGAACTTCTTTTGGGTTATAAAAGAAACTTGCAAATAAGTACAGACACATTTTCTTCCTCTTTCCATTCCAGAGATCTGACACAATGAGGTTAGCTCAGAACTGCAGCTTCAGAGTGCAAAGGGACATCATCCAGTAGGGTAATGATCCAGTAGGTTTTGGTCACTCGCACACAAAAGAACCAGTGGAGAAGACAGCTGCACCCTGTCCACCATCACCACCCTACAGGGCAAGAAAATTAAACAGGCTGTTTTGGTGATATTTAGCACAAAGGAAAAAGGACAATGGATCGTTAAATGCTGGCATGACGGAAGAATCCTGAGAACATACTGATCTCATCCTCTGTCCTATCGTTCACATGAACTGTGAAAATCGGCTTTCTTTGCAAGCAGCATCCTTCCTTGGTGAGTACAGGAGGAAGCCTGCCCAGAGCAAGAGTTGAATTACAACATCCTAACTACTAGTGCTGACAAAAAGAACAGCATGAGAAAATAAAGGAGTAGTTGCAAGGGATTCTTGCCAGCAAACAAATACACTCTTTGTCCTAAAAGTAAGGACAAGAGCAGTTACTATGTTCATTTGAATTTATGGAGCTGTGTTTCACAGAAGTAAGGTCAGGAGAAAGAACTTTTGCAGACTGTACACAGCCCCTCTACAAGTGGAAGAACAACTCCATCCCTTGTTGCCTGGAGTCAGCAGGGACAACACACACACAGAGGAGGCTGGAACACACTATCAAGGAAGAAAGCTTCACCACAGTATTTTCAGTTCCATGAAACTCTAGGACCTGCTCAGAGCTGGTCGTTGCTCATTTTCATTTCGTCAAGGTGCATTCCTTCCAACAGACAAGGCAGTGTGCAGCCCTGTGAAGAAGCTGAGCGTTCATTCATAAATTGGGCACAGAAGATGGGTAAAATTGCACAGTCTGAAACCCACCGCACAGACCATCCACAAACTTCTTCATAATTGTCTTTTTTTTAAATATATATATATATTTTGTTCAGCATGGAGTATTCAAGTTAAGACAAGGCTATTTAATAGCTTTCACGTGTCACTAACAAAATCATCCACCTCTGGATGGCAGGTTACAAACTGCCCAGTTTGACAGCAAACAAAAATTATCTCTGACAGCCATCGAGAGGCTCTTGGTAAAGTTCTCTATCAAGTCTCATGTAGGCTGACAGTCATTTTCAATCTTGCATTAATTGCTATCTATCTTTATTATCTCAGCAGAGATAATATGAAGACAGCTTGGACCATTTTTGCTCCAGCAAAGGTACACCTCTAGAAGAGGTCTGTAAACCAATGATAGAAAGATGACTGCCTTGTCACAAGCACTTCAAAAATTATCTTTGAAGAAACCCAAGATGCAATTTCCCAGATCTACGAATCCAGCCACTAATTTCCTCCTCAGTAATCGCAGTTTACATAATCTGTCACACTCTGCACTGTCAGAGCAGCGTAACCCTGAAAGAACTTTAAAAATCAGTGGAGTTACACTGATTCAATTTAAAAAAAATATTACTGTTATGAGTGATTTGATAATTGCATTAAAAAAAATGGCACCAAGGCAAATGTAGAGGTGGCTTTTTACTTATACTACAAATCCGCACGAGCAAATTCCAACAGAAGTTTCCCAAGGTGTGTGTTGGAGTATACTTGCCAAGCAGAAATCTTAGTTGCTACATTTGCAGTAGAGAGCACAAAATTATATTAAGACAATACATTGTATTTCCGTAACCTATAACAAATATAATTCATTTTATGCATTTGGATTGTTTTTCAAGCTAGACAAGTGTCTTGCTTATGAAGCCAACCCTGTTACATACGTTATTACATCTTTGAATGAAAATGGAAACTAAAGTTTTCCTCAGAACGAATAAATAACTCCCCATGAAAAGAAAAAAAAATAAACAAATGCGCACCACACCATTTTCTTATGTCCACTATGCAATATTAAACACAAATTCAATTCTCTGACAATTTATGGATATCATAACCAGGTTACAATAAAATGGCCACCCCTCAAGGCCATTTTGTAGTATGTAGCACTGTTCTCACAGGCCAAAAACTCTTGTTATCTTTTAAAATGTAAATTCAAATTTTAATTTTCCCTATTAAATATTAAAATATTTTAAATTAAATATACATGAAAAGTATGCATGGAAGCAAAAATGCAGATTTCATGTTGCCTTTTCCACTGTTTCAGCCTCTTCCAGGTAAGGAATTTTCTTTCAACAGAACAAAGTTCATTTTATCAAGCATTTGGGAGAAGGCCGAGCATTACTGCTGAGTTTTGCACCTCATGAATGACTCTTCTGAACTATCTCTGTGACCAGTTTTGTCTTGCTGGTCTTGGCATAATCATCATCATCACCAGTCTTGGCATTTAATAGTGTTAATAGAAAAAAACCTCATGATTGAGTTTGACCATCAGCCCAACACTCCAATGACCACTAAACCATGTCCCCAAGTGCCACGTCTACAGATTTGGTTTTCTGAACTCCTCCAGGGATGGTGACTCCAGCACCTCCCTGGGCAGCCTGGTCCAATGGCTCACCACTCTGCCAGGAAAGAATCTTCCTAATATGTAATCTAAACCTCTCCTGGCACCACTTACGCCCATTTCTTCTATCACTAAATATATAAAACCCCAAAGCTATTAAAGTGACCTTTTTGACTTGTGTTCTTTCCCTCCATAACCTATTTTTAAAATGGTGACACCATTCTCAAATCATGTGCCACTCCCCACCTGTAGTACTTTGAGTCTCCCAGGACAAGAAACCACACGTTGCTTCTCCCACACCGCTGTGCAGGTTGGTAGCTAAGGGCAGGGCAGTGGGATGTTATCACTGCCCAGACACTTTGGGTTTTTAGTACAAGTTCAGGCTTCACCAAGTCAGGTGGTTGCTGTTGCTTTCCTAAGCAATCGTGTTGCAAAAAGGGAGATTTATGTAAGGCAAGTTCAACAATTGAGCTTTTTTCATGGTATTAAGTTTTGCAATTGCAGTGAGAACAGACAAAAACTCAGAAAAAAAAAAAAAAGCACAAATATGGAAAAATATGGTTTCCACTAGATAAAATGTTAGGTTTACATTATCTTTAAATGTTATATTTATGGAGAGAGTGTGCAACAAACATTTGCAGGACTCAAGAGTATTAAGTCTCATAATAGTAACCAACAAGTACCTCTCTCTACTAGATTTGTAAGAAAAGGTTTCAGGAATCTATTCACAAGTGATCTTTGATGTAAGACTTGCTAAGTGACATCTATACAACTTTTCCCATGTCAAATCATCATAAAAAATTTTTGCTCCTTGTCACACTTATGACACTCATCACCACTAAATCTTTAAAAATCACCTTTAGTATTTAAATCTGTTTGGGCATTGCTATTTCAGGCTAGCCATAGACCTCCAGGAATAGCTCTCCTGCAAGTATTCTGGAATTAGAGTGATTTTAACACTTTAATAAGACCTGAATAGCTAACTCGAATCAGTGTAGTTCACTGCATGAAGGTTAGCTCCCCTTCTTCTGACAAGATCCCAAAAGGTAGGTAACTAATTTCTGCAAAAGTTCCAGTTCACGGGCGGCTTTCAAGGTTAACCACAGGGACAAACAACAACAATACTTGAACCTAAAAGGAATACAAAAATGAAACGGTCTGCAGCTAACAAGAAAGATTAAATCTCTTGGCCTAACAGATCTATTTTATTTTTTTTTTTTTAAAAAGGCCTATTTGGCTTCAGTTAAACATTTTCAGTTTGGGAGGAATGATTTGTAAAGAATCAGAGATGGCATGTTGAACAATTAGTTGATGCCAACAGCACAAGGTAACAAGAGAGTAAAAAAGGAGATAAGGAATATTGAGACAAGTTACTTAACAAGGCTCAATAGTTGATTTATGGCCTGAATGAAAGCCTGCTGAAAGTATTCCACTTGATTTCAGCAGGTTTTAAATCAAGTCGGGCCTTAGGGGGAAAAAATGCAGAGATAAAAATTTTATTAACTGTTCCAGCTTTACTACAAAAAGTCAGCTAAATGAAAATTTTAAGTTTACCTCTGGTAGATGATCCCCAGCAAGAAGAATGTGCTGTCACTGCATTTGCTAACACACTGAATACTGCTGCTGTAACAGCCACCCAGAGCTGTTAAAGTAACAAGGAGCAAATGCTCTCTTCAAAATTATGATGATAAATCAAAGAAAACATTGAATATTTGGAGGGGCGGGAGGGTGGTCAGTACAAATAAAAAAATACTGCAAGAAACAATATGAGGAGAGCGATCTATGAGATACATGGATTTTGTTCACCTTTCTGTGAACTTGTATTTTAAAATTAATTTTTTATTAGTAATAAAACCAAAGGCAAGTCTAACGACATCCATTAATAGTGACATTAAATTCTTAAGAGTATTTGAGGGATTAAAAAACAAAAAAAAGTTAATGGATTTGAGTGCTTCACCTATAGCCAAGCTGTCATTTCTTCTGTAGTGTTTCCACAGCCTTCCAGTCCAATCTCTTGAGAGCACCTTAATACTCCAAACATCCCATGTTATCAGCTAGATCACTTGCTACTAGAGTCAGTCACGCAAGAACCACCCCTTCTGGGGGTCTCAAGAATAAAAATTACCTAGCTGACAAGCAAAATTTTAATCTTATTCTTACAAAAAGCTTCTGACAAACAGTTTGGTTCAGATGAGCAAGAAATTACCAAGAAGTTTGATGCCCTTGTTTGTACCACATTATTTTATCACTAGAAAAATTTAGCAACTGCATTTTTATAAAGTATCTTAGACTCATAGAATCATTTAGGTTGGAAAAGACCTTTAAGATCATCAAGTCCAGTCATTAACCCAGCTCTCCACTGCTAAACCATGTCCCTGTGCACCATACCTACATGACTTCTGAACACATCCTAATCTTTTATTAGCCATCTATAAATATCAATGTTTATAGTCCTGATGTAAACAATCAGTGCAATATAACAATAGATTCAAAAATATCAGGTTAGAAAATTAGGATACAGAAAACCAGCACATAGTACCGCATTAAATCATAGACCCATAGAATGGTTTGGTTTGGAAGGGACCTCAAAGATCAAAAAACTAACTACAAAGAGTAGAAGACAAGGGAACATAAAGGAAGGGAAGTGCTTCAGATCTGGGGGAAGACAAAACCTTGAGTTTCTTTCACAGAACAGCACAAAAAAGATACAATTTGTTATTTTGCTATTTTGTGTTATATTGTCATGCTGGAGCAAAACAGCAGAATAGCAAGAGAAGGTTAATTATTATATAATAGCAACAGAAATATCAGTCCAGAAACTCAAAGAATAGGAAAAATATTAGAAATTATAAAGGAAGAGTGGGCAGCAGGGGAAAAACTTTGAAAACTTTCCTTTGAAACTTTCCTTTTAGGCTTTGTTTTCTCATGTCTATCCCAAAAAGCCCTTTTTTATTTGGTGTACCAATCTGAAGGCTTAAGAACCAAAGCTGTGCTGTCAAGGCTCATCAAAAGGACAAATATTTTTAAAGTATGACTTCCTGTTGTAAGTTTAAAGCTATCATGTTGTGGTAAAGTATAACACAACAAAAGCCTGTGAGTATGAGCTGAAAGACAGCACACTTAAAGGTTCTAATCATCACACCCCAAAAATATAAATGCGGCTCTGAGGTCTATTGCTACCTACCAGAGTCCCCTTGTTAAGGCGACAAGAGTCACCCTTTAGCTGGGACCTTCGCACACTGGCCAGCTAGCATTTGCAGACTCCTGTTTCTGAGGAACCACAAGCAATACCCCAGATTTCCATAATTGCTTTGGTATTCTGTATCACCCCTTCAGAGAGTGAACGGTAAACTTCTTGAGGTAAGAACACTGGCAATTCTTTACCATGTTACTATGAGAAAAGAAGTAAAAATTTCAGAACTGTAAAACTCCCAATACTGTGGGTTTTCATTTAAAGTATTACAATTTTATTACAAAAAGGTAAGACGAAATATTTGATCATCTCCCTTTTGGAGTGTGTGTAGGGGAAATGCCTCTGAAAAGTCTTCCGGCTTTTCTTTAAATATATTGACTGTTTCCAAAGTATTAAGGAATTTAAAGCTTGCTTCTGAAGAATACTATGAAAGATGATTTAAATTCAGTATTGCAGTACATATGCTACATCTGATAAAAGAAAGGCAAATCTTATTTGTATTTTAAACTTCTTTGGAATGAAATTACCTAAATACACACACACACACGAGACTAATATCAGACTAGGTAATACACTGACCTGTCTGTTTTGGATTCACTGTCAGCTCGATAGTGTTGAAGGCCTTGGTAAAGAAACTGCAATTCTGCTTGAAGTCCTTTTTCCCATTCTATACTTTCTTCACAAAATTTTACCTCCTTTTCCATTGCTTTTACTTTTTCTTCCAACAGCTTAAATTCATAAAATATCAAAAAGCTTAATCCACATTTTTTACATGCTGTCTTATCCCAGGACATCTAGAAAAAGATAAAATTTTGAGATTGTAGGAAACAAATCGAACAAAAAAAAAACAAACCCTGAATGACACTAAATAATAAACCTGAACAGTTTAAACCATTTATTGCTCTGGAGCTTTTATTATCAGATGATATTTTTGCTTTCACAAATGATAAAGATAACATTTTACATTAGTAAAATGAAATCAAGCTATAGCAGTACTTTCACTTACTGGAAACTCCACAAGACATATAAGCTATGGCAGTTTACTATGTGGGAACTCCTGCTGGAATTCTAAACTGCAATTCCTCTTATTTATGGTTGATGTATTGATTTAAAATAAAATGCTGTGTCTTAGAAAGTTATCTTATTAATGAATTTGTGACTGCCTGAGCCAGAAACATGTTATTTACTGTGTTTTTTTGACAACTTACATCCAACTCAAGTAGGCAAGATGAAAAGTGGAAAGTGAGCAGAATGATGTAATCCAGCAATCTTTAAAAGCATAATTCATATGAGTAAGGGACCAGTTACGATGTAATGTCCATGGCACTTGAATGTTGGGGAAAATGTAACTTGTTTAGTAGGCAGGAAGGATTCATTGCTGATTAAAAATATAGAGAGTATGTAATACACATCTAATTGAAAGACCATTTCTTAAGTGGTGAAACATATTTTTGTAAGTGAGCAAATTATTAAGCTTTGCAGCAAGCAAGGCTTCACAAATATGAACAGATAGATGGGCTCTGACTTTCATACTCACTTAGGACTCAGTATACGAGTTAGTCTCACATATTTTAATCACTTACACTTCCAGAAAAAACACTCAGTTTACAAGCAACACAGAACTGAGCCTGCAGAGGAAATGGGTATCGGGTAGATAAATCAGCCAGCCCAACCCGAGAACGTCTGGCACTTCAGCAGGGGACATGTACAGCATCTGCTTACCAGCACAGACCCCAGGTCCCTGAACACAACAGTTTTACCCGGTTTGTGGGTTGCAGCATAACCACATGTGAGAGGAGATGATTCAAATCAAGACTAGATCAGAGGACACTCATAATAGAGCTAAAGAGACAACCTCAAAGCAACAAATATAAAAAGCTGCTGGTAAGCTTGGACGTGAAAGATGGGAAAGGAGAGGCAGCTGGAAGAGCAGTTGTGTGCTTGTGGATCGAGAGCTTAGAACACGCTTCAGCCTTTCTTGCAATTAGCAACTGTTAAAGGGATTTTAACACAATGACTTTGGAAAATCAGAAAGCTGGAAAACTGTCAGCAGTTTGAGTCAAAGCATGTAAAAATCACTTGTTTCACAGAAAAAAAGAAAAGATAAAGAAAAAAAAGATTTAAGACCTTGGGATAAACTGAAAGAAATCAGGTGAAAGACAACAGCTTTCAAAAATTATAAACTAAAGGTTCATCAGCCCATGATTCAATGATCTGTAGCACTTTACATACATACAGCTCAATAAAAAAAATGCTATTTCAGGTTGCCTTGGAATTACCAGGCCAAGCTTTTTTTTCCAATTTCTTAGTTTTGCCCCACTTTAAAATACCCCTAGTTACAGTTGCTCTGAATGAGCTGAAAATGCAAGTTTATTTTTCCTGGCAGCTGCAAACTGTGCTTGGAAATATGAAACTGTTATTCAGGATAACTACCATAAAGTTCCAAAGCACTAAAATTACTATATTGAAAAAGGACAAAATGAGCTGTTATACGGAGCTCAGGAGGGGGCCTCTTATCCCCAAAAGAACATTGTGCTCTCCTGCAGCATCACTGCTGCTGCCTTTCAAATAAACAGTTACAGAAATTTGGCTAGGTACTAGGATTAAAAACAAAATAAAACAATTGGGGTCCTGAACTGAAAATATTTTATGTAAGTACTAAAGGTTTTTAGTTTTCAAATTCAATTTTGTTACTGAGCTTAAAAATAAATGAAGTCATAGAATAATAAATATTTTCTGTCTGAACTTAGTGGGAAATGGGACCTGTTCTTCCCCACAGCCATTCCTCAGGTGAAATAAAAATCTGAAAGGACTTCAGATCAGGCTGGATTTTTAATGTGTTTGCTAACTATTCAAAAAAAATCACAGGCAGGCCAAAGGGCTATATGTTACCGCAGTGAGGAAAGAAAGTTCTTTTAATCAGAACCTTGCTTCTGTACACGGACAGTTATCCTGCAACCACTGTAATACACAAGCTACAGACATAACTAGGTTTAACAGATCTGTGGTATACGCACAGGTATTATAAAGCGGTTTCTTAATATAAAGCATTTTATAGCTCTGAAGACTATCTACAAGCAAAACGCTTTGGAGTTTTGTACCGTTTCTGAGAGAAAAAAACATAATTTCATCTGTGCATGTAGTTCTCTACTGTCACTCTTCCGTAATTTGTGAAGTAGAATGTTTGGTCATTTGTAACCAATTCTGACACTGAGTAAAGAACTAATTGTCTCAAAGTTTTAGACAACCAGGTAGGCAATACAGGCTTCATGAGTTCCCTGCTGTAGAAAACTCTGGAGTAGGAGCACAGTCCTTATCAGATATCAGATAACCCATATCAGAGAAAGCCTTATAAATGGCCTGTCCCACAGAAAAGATTCCATTAGATCTTGTACCTTAGACACCAAAGTTCATAAACCATTACACAAAAGTCTGTAGGAAATAAATTTTCATTAGCTGCTAATGCTTACAAAGGTACTTTTTCTTGATTGATCACTAAGTAACCACTAAGAATGGGTATTACATATACAATGATTTATGTTTTCACACTCCATATTTCCTTCTTTACATTTGGTCAAGAAACTGTTGTCATCTTCTCAAATGCAAAGCAGAAAAAAAATCAGGGGGAAAGACGAGTTTGGAATGAATAGAAAATGAAACTATCAGAGGTCAAACTAGGAAGGGGACTGTGTATGTCCTTCCTTAGCAGCAAGAATAGAAAAAAAGTAAATAAATTCGGAATAAAAAACTCAACAGGAGGCAGCTTTAGTCTTATGGTTTTGGTCAGCCTGGAGAGAGAAACTCAGAGCAAATAGGACTTGAAAAGGTAGCAGAGGGACACTAAACACCCTCTGCTATTTGAGTCAGCACGACAGCACAGTGTGCATAGAAACAGCTTCAAGAAAACCAAACTCAGGGAGGACTAAGTGCTTCAACTAAGAAGATATTTGATCTGTAAAATTTTGAGCTACAGTTCCAATGCCCGTTACACCAGATGCTATCAAGAAAAGACAAGAGCTGTGTCCAGAACAAACGCAGCATTTCTAGTTGTGATATTCCAGCAGCTGTTCCACTACATCTGTGGGAGTAGATTCAACTGCGAGCTGCCTTCGGGTTTGGAAGAACTACTATTATTCCATGGTTACCCACATTTCTTTAGCTACCAAGGGCAAGTGGAGAACTGAGCCAGGATGGAGAGTCACTCCAATTACATCGGTCTGACTCAGTACCATAAGCATCTGCAGAGCATGAGTTGTGGGGAAAAAAAAAAAAAAAAAAAAAAATTACTTTGGTGGCCTGGACCATTTTTAGCCTTTAAATGACACAACAGGAATTTATATCATTTCTACTTGATGAAATAACTACAGGGTGCATCAGCCTGTGCACTGCTATTTACTGATATTTCACATTCCACCCACAAAAATCACCACAGTAAGGAGCTAAACTCCTGTTAAAATAGTCTATATTCTCACTTAGGAGTGCCTTGCATTACAACCTCCAGCATATGGATCACTTCAGCTAGAAACAGTCCGTTACGAACAGCTAATAAATAGCCATGACTCTTAAAAGCCAAAACTTAAGCCCTCAATTAACGAGATTCTTTTAAAAAGCTTTGAATATGTTTCTGTGCATCGCTGAAATAAAAACACAGAGCCATGAGCACAGATGTGCTCCTTGGACATGAATTTTACAGTGCAGGTGAGGGAGAGCCTAAGGGAGCTGCAGCACTTGCTATCCTCCTCGGGCACGTAATGCAGTAGTAACAGTTCTCGCTCCCTCCCCAGTTTTCTGTCAGGACTGGCACTGCTTTAGCAAGAACTGGCCAAATCAACTAAAAAAGCCTTGGATTTGTCCAAATGACACTTGTAGCAGAACAATTCAGATAACTCAAGAAAATAATAACCAAAAAATCTGGGTGCTCTTAAGTTTTTCTGTATATTGGTTATTTCATTCTACCTCTATTTGATTCTACCTTATGTAGTTTCTTTTTCTGTTACTCCTTCTCTGCCATACTACTTTCACTTCTCTAAAGCTCTTTGTCCTCCTCCTGACAAAACAGTTAATCCCTGTTATGCAAAAAGAAAACATTACTCAAACCACATGACTGATTTTCTAGAAAGAAAGTGGAGTGTGTATATGCAAAACTTAAGAGGCATTTGATTTAAACTGTTTTTTTATTATTATGCAGAGAAAGATTTTTAGAAGTCTCAGTAGAAACTTCAGAATCTTGAAAAGGATTTACTGTGAGCCAAGTTTTCAGTCAGCATCTACTCAGAAAGTAACACAGATAGCACCACTAAGCTATGCTGCATACATAATTATTTGCTCCACTTCCATAAAATAGTGGTTTCGAAATAAAAATCACAGCACTTGCTTTGAATACATATGAATAGTATAGAAATAGGCTTGGAGTAAAAACAGAATGTCCTGCTCTGAAAAGTTTTATTCAAAACATAATCAGTTTGTCACGACAGGAAATAATACTCAGACTTCAGGTAGCTTTGATTTTTTCCTGCTTGCGAGCAGAGCAGACTAATAAATCACAAAAGACTGTGCTGCACTGCTAGTGACTGCACACGCTCACACGAGCCCTGCAAGCACCTCACATGTGTCCACCAGGCCATGCAGACCCTGCTGCTGCTCAAACGCTCATTCTACAGCTCTCTAGCAACGCAGAGTTCTTACCAAGGGAGCCACAGGACAGCACAACAAACTGATGCCTGTGCAGACTCAAGATAATTTAGTCCATTGTCAACCATGTCTTGGACAATACTGACCTTTTGCATCTGTAGCT